AAAAAGCAAGTGATTGTGAGTGTATCAACAAAAGCAGATTGCAAAAAAGACAACACTCAGCAAAGTGGGAGCACATTGCTATGCTTTTATCGCCATTCATGCAGTATACAAAATAATTATGTACATACTGTTACTTGTGTAAAAGTTACAGCAATTAAGTGAGGGAGATAAGTGCATAAGTAAAAGATAACTCAGGGAATGGGGAGATGACAAATGTATACCTATATAACCAGGATTGTAAAGATCTATAAAAATAGCAGACAAATAACAAATATGTAAACCAATTTAACTTCACTCAATGTAGTATAGAGCTTTCCTTGAAAAAGTCATGGATAAAAACTACAAGGGTGTAAGTTAGACCAGGGATCCTCTTCAGCCTGTGGACAAAATCCAGCCCATGGAATTCTTGTATCCAACCTGCAGAGCTCCCCACAGGTTGGGGCTGGATTGGGCTCAGGCCCAAGCCATGCCACTGGCATTTGGCCAGATTGGGGCTAGGCTGGCCATTTGGCACATGGCTGGATTGGGGTCACATATGTGCTGGATCCAAGCCTCGATGTGGACCAGATCTGGCCCACCTGCTCAATCTGGCACTGCCCATCTGATTTATGAAGCAAAAGATCTGCCCATGCCCTCAGAATAGAAAAAAAATGGAGAAAGAAGAGTGTGGCTGCAACACAGAAAGACAGAGATAGAAAAGAGAAGTGGACATTAGAGGGCAGATTCTAGTCCGCCGTGCTTGAGACCCTGAAAAACTGTTAACACAAAAGGGGAAAGGTTTCTTTTCCTTCTTGCTGCTATTTTTATGACTCAAGTGTAAGGTAACTGTGTTTTATAAAAATTAGATGCATTACTGGATTTCCAGAGACCTGAACATGGTGGACTAGAATCATACTTAAGTGCTTAAGTCCACATAAATGCATAATAGATGGAATAGGATCTAGCCCTAGATACACTAGTGTAAATTGTTGCAGGTGGGAGGCACCCTCCCCGAGCACTGATTCAGAGGGCATGCCAGAATGGATGCTTCTGGGGAATCTGCCCCTCCACCGCAGCATCCACCAGTGTTCAGGGCAGCAGCAGCCTGCACCACTGATACCACAGCAGCCCCTGCACAAGGAGGTGAGTTCTTGTTTCCCTCACACACCCAGGGTGCCAAAATTGTAACTTATGCCTCTGCCTAATGTATGAGGGCCTAGGAAAAGAGTTGATGCATGTCTGCATGCATCTCGTGCTTGTCTGCATAACAACAAAACCAAGAAATGCAGACAGGTAGTTAACCATGTTAGTTTGAAGTCAGACCGAAGTCAGGACAGGATGGCACCTTAGGTTTCTCCAGGAAGAGCAGCAACTCTCTCAGGAGAAACTGAATATCTGTATGAGGCCTTACAAACTAACTGGTTCAGAAAGGCATGATGTTTCATAGGTGACAGCCTATTTTGTCAGATGGTACGTAAGACGTATGAAGTAGCTGGAGAATTCTATTTAAAAGGTACTAACAAGATAATACAGTAGAACCTTATACATCTGGCATGCTTGGGACTGAGCACCTGCCGGAAATTTTAAAATTCCAGATGTTTTAAATCAGAGTGGCGGCCAGTCACAGAGCAGGGTGGGGTGGATAGCAGCGGCCACATGTGGAGCAGTGGCACAGGGTGGTGGATGGCGGCGGCAGCTACCACGTGCAATCTTCCCCCTCCACTGCTCCAGGACCGGCCACCACTACTCGCCTATGTAATGTATGTTTATGAAGTACTGGATTTTCAAGAAATTATGAGGTTATACTGTATACATTCAAATATATGTATATATATCATACTTAGGTACAAATATATATCTGTAAAAGCAAATCTGTCTATGTAGGGCACGGAGAAAATTTCAGACCTAAATCAGATAAGTTCCTGCCACCCAAAAAATTGCAAAATGTCATTAGCTGCAGGGCATAAGTTTCATGAGAAATGGGGCAGAACCAGGGCATTTTAGGGTAACTTAAAATATTTTTCTGTGTGTCATTGATCTTATCACCCTGGCCTGAAATAAAACCTGTTGAAATGGCATTGTAAACTACTAAAGTAAGCTGTGTGTCTGGCCATTACTGAAACCAGCTTGTGTGTCTTTAAACTGAGCATTTCTTCAGAATCAGTGTAATTTAATTGAAACAGCTCTGCATGTGTAAACAACTCCTTTGTTTAAAGAAGATTTCACTGTTTAGTTTGCCTTAAGTAAATGCTGCCTTTTGTTTGTCTGTAAAACATTTGATTAAATGTACAGACTAATATGGACAGCTTCTCATCATTCCACTGGTGGGCTGTAAAATGAGTCAGAAGTATTGCAAGTATGTGCTTTCTCAAGGAAGCATAAAATAATATCATTTGTCTTGAAATAACATGTCTTAAGTGTAGTCTGAAAAAAGGAAACTACAGGTTTCTATCTTTAAGAGCCCTGCTACATGTTCAAATTAAAGCTGGATAGAAACCAGCTATAGAGTTGCACACATTCTCAAGCATTAGCTTTATAGTTGGTTGGCTCTTTTTATAGCTGTATAGTAATTTTTATTGTATGATAGTTACTTTGTATATGTAGCCAGTTTAAATTTATTGTGTAATTAACCAGTTAATGGTGTAATATATGTAACATGTAGGAAGGGCCAAAAAATAAGAACGTGGATTAGGAAAATAGTAGTAAGGACACTGCCTAATATTTCCAAAAGCACCAAACTGAAAATGATTATTGAGCATTTCTGAACTTGTTTTTGTAACCGTTTTCCAAAATTTTCATTAAACCTCAAATTTCTTACCTGACAATTAGCTTTTAAAAATACACATTTAAATTCAATTAGCAGTCTCTAAAACAAAGACTTCTCAGTGCTATGTTTATTATTATTATTGCAGTTTGCAAAATAAACATATTTTACTAGAATCTCTTTCATCAGCTACAAATGCTCCCGTGAATCCAAACAACTGTTGTAAAATATACACAGTCTAAAGTATATTTGTGAAGTTGAATTCTGTATAAAAATATTGTGTTGAAAAAAATGTTTTGATTTGGTATCCTTTGGAAAAGTTCTCAGATATGCTTTTATACCAACT